CCGGATTCCGGTTTCCCGCTTTTCCAGACGCCCTGATAAAGAGCACTCACTGGCTTCAAGGAATTAACAGTATACATGTATTTTAAATTTTAACGACTCACTGGTTAACTAAAAAATACTCTCTGTATTCACGTGAAGAGAGAGTAAGCTTTGGATTGTCCACTTAGTCAGGGTTACGGTGAATAAAGCGTCTTGTCTTAAAAACAAGTGTCACAGCCGATATCATCAATATGTTATCTTTAGAACGGAACTCAGTTTTATCAGAGTTAACATTTCGGAATTTCGAATATGATGAAACAATGTCTTTAACATCGCAGAAAAAACCCTGGAAGATGAGTGTTTATTCAGCCGTGTTACAATTTGTTTTACCAACGGATTCATAAGCAGTGAGAAGCTCCGATCGTAATTAACCTTAGATGGGAAAACGAAAGCTGCTTAATCATTAGTTTCTTGACGTTTCCGTTCCTAACGAACTTAGTGTAAACACAATCTAGAATCAGGATATTAGTCACATTCAGCACAATAATCTAGAGCAATTGAAGTGTTCTCAGCTGCTTTACCATCCTTTGTACGTGCTCGTTTTTAACTAGGAGGATGTTAGTTGTGATTCTGTTGTGAATGTAATTTTACATGAAAGACTTGCCGAACATAATAATTGAACAGTATTATAGCATATCCAGACCATATATAAGCTAGCTTGTACACTATACAATTTGAATTGCCCCTGCGAATTACCTCTCGTTAAGAGCGTTGAATTACCTCTACGAATTGCCTCTGCGAATTACCTCGAACAAACAGAACTGAATAGGCCTTATCACGGTTTTCGACGCCATCTTGACGGGTAGGCAAGCTGGCGTAAAATTACAGTGTTTGTATGAGAATCCGATATCGAATAATCTTCGTAAAACGTCCGTTTGGAAAAAAATATAAATTGTAAACTAAAGCTACAAGGTAGAGGATTCTACTGACAAATTTTGAGGGCTGTATCCGCGCTAAAACGTTCTCGATAGCTTTTTAGATTTTCTATACATTTGTCTATAATTTTTCCCGGGAAATTTAGTCGGCGGGAAAACATTTTTACAGACAAATGTATTGGAAATTAAAGGTCATTAAAAGAAGCGATTCTAGGGCAGGCGAGGCCCTCGAATTTTGTGAGAAGAATCTTTTGTCTAATAACTTTAGTTTACATTCATAGTGTTTTCAAAACGGACGTTTTACGAAAATTATTCGACATAGGATTCTCATACAAACACTGTAATTTTGAGTTTGCCTTTTGAATTACTTGAGTTTTCTACGAGTTAACTACGTGAAAAGATTAAACATACTTGAAGGGTTCCCGATCCTGTTGAAGTCATTTCTGCTTTGCTCTACGGACAAGTTACTAACGACCCTGTACCTCTGGCTTAAACGGGGTCAGCGTTTAAAGGTATCAGGCCTAAAGACTTCCTTTAAGTCCCCCTCCTCTCCGTTCCGTAGGGTTAATTTCAGTTTTGTGTCTTTAACACCGGTAGCCTGAGAAAACAGCCGATATTTGACCACATTTGGTGACGCTACCACTGGTTTCCCCGTCGTCGCGATGTCGGCTGTTTTCTCAGGCTATAACATCGGTTTTTTAACTCAAGAACATCAGACGTCTCCGACGATTATGTAAAGAGCCTTTTTTACTGAAATATTTGTCTATGCTTAACATGGGTCTTCAACTCAACATGGCTAAACCAAGGGAACTTTTATTAAATTTAAATTTATTTTCTCGATGATTTTGTCTTATTTACTACAAACACTGAGGAAAACGTTTTTCATTGATATTCTCTTAAAGAAAGTTTTAGTAAGACGAGCCAGATTCCTGGTCAAACTTGAGACGCTCATTTCCCTTTAGCGCAGGGAAAAACAGGCAGATTGCTATGGAATCAGCGGAGCCAATCTTGACCACATGCGCATCGTTTTCCAAAAGAATCAAAGTCCCGCGATGCTTTTCAGGGTTAAACTCGTGCTTCTGCGCACCAGTTTGCAAAGCATATTCACCTTGACCTTTGATCCAGTAAACCGCTTCTACGTTGTGCTGATAATGCAGGCGCGTACTATTGTTGGCATGGCATAATGTATTGTGCACTGAGATATTGAAGCCATCAGGAGCAGCTAGAAATCTCCGACTGTATCCACGCTCAAAGAAGACATTGCGGTCTGAATCAATGACGTCACTCAGATTTTTCATTAGAAAAGGAACTGGAGACATGCTTGGGTCACTTGGGACTGAACAAGCGACGATTCTCATTGGTTCACGAATATCTAACTTCACTTTGCTCTCAGGTGTAAGAGCAAGAACATGATCAGTGGTAAAGACAATTGTTTCAGTTGCATTTTTGTGTAAGATGCACTTTCCTGTAAAAAGGAAAAACTTCTCATTAAAAATAGTCAAAAGGAAGGCTCATACGCCACTTGCACATCTCCCATCATGCACCTTATTTCCCCCCTCCCCCCCCTAAATTTTGCGTAACCTGTCTTTTTCATTTCTCCTGGGTATTACAATCATCCAAAGAGAAATTGAAAACAATGCTTATGCAAAATTTTGGGGGGCAAATAAGGTGCATCATGGGAGAGTGCAAGTGGCGTATGGGAGTGGTCGATTACAATCTCGTTCCTTTTAGTCATGAGCACCAAGGATCACTAAGTCTAACCTCTGGAAAAATCCGAAAAAAATCTCTAATTGGCCCGGCCATAAAAGCATGTTCATCACTTGCAAATTTCTTTGCTAATCAAAACTTGTGAACACGTTTATTTGATTTTGACAGGTCATCTGTGCACACACAAATCTTATACAACTTGAAACCATTAAGGAAAAAGTTTATCTCAATATAAATTCATGAAACCATGCCGCAACGACAAGTCTAAAAATTTCCTTTGTCTTGTTATTGAAAGTCGTTCAATGCCACTTTTTTATACAAGCATGCTACTGAACCTTTCAAATTTGCAAACAACTGTGCTCATTCTGAGCATGAAAGAATGTGTGTGGTCATGACTAACAAATGCCTCCATCCCGGCATTTTAAATAAATATATAATTTTTCGGTCTCCTTGATAGTCTTTTCGAGTTACTTGATACATTGATCAAAAATCACACAAAGAAAAACTGCCCTGGGACAATTATGTACCAATGTGCGTGCAAGGGAAAATTCCCTTATGAACTTCTCTTGATCAAATGGGTAAGCAACTTCACACAGGCCCAATTAAACCAGAACCAGGATTTTGTGGTTCTAGTTTTGGATTCTTCCAGAGAGTCCGTGGTAGGAACTTGATTTCAATATTCAAGTCGGTACAATATATGTCCCCATACATGAAGTACCTACCGCGTCCGTTGCCGGTTCCGCTGGATAAGGGTAACGCAGGCTCTGGGGACGAGATTAAACCCCGGTCAAAGCATCTTGCTATTATAACCGTATCAATCTCCCATCCGGGAGAACAAACCTGCTACCCTACCCGTTGGCACCCTGAGACACTTACTCAAATACACCATTAACTTAGCAAATTGTTGATAAAATGTAGTGATTCGTCGAACAGCTTAATAGAAAATTCGTTGATTGCGAGATGTGTATGAAAACTGTCTTCAACGCTCCATCGCCCTCTGCTGGTCTCAGCTAACAAGCACTGCAAGGAGTACCTCCTAAGCTACCATGTCTACATACGTATAGGCATTTGTCACCGCTTCCCTTTCAGTTTGCCTTCTGTTGCTTAGCCTGCGTTAAACGCCTGTATCAATTCTCAAACGCAAATGGGCGAAACCATGAATAATAGAATGGAGAAACTTAACTGCTTTGAAACCTATCATGTATATGGTCACGAGACTTCTCATTCTAACGTTCAATTCTTCATAGCAAGCAATCCCAGCTGCTACGAAAAGCTGTTTTTGTAATCACGGACTGTTGTGAATACTCCCTGATACTCAACAACGTACCTTCAACGCAGTAATAAATGTGATTTTGATCAGGATAAATCGCGGTGAACGAGAAGTCGTCCTCAGGTTGAAGGGTGAAATCGTACATTGTGAAGCCAACTTTGTCCTCAGGTGATACGAGCACTTTCCCTAGTAATCTGACGAGCCCGATCGGCACATTAGGCAGTTCATTTGCAATTCGGACTTTCATTGTCCCTTGAAAACGGCGTTTTGCAGAAATTACCGTGGCTTCCGTCCACACACGCTATCAGCCAGACAATACATGAACCAAGTCACGCAAAGAGTCACGCATCAACGGGTTAATCATGGCGACGGCTCCCGAGCCCCCTAGACAACCATTATCATAGCGTCCATTTTATTAGTCTTCTTGTTTAATATTGTTTCGTTGAAATTCGCCACGTTTGATCAACTCGGTGACACCCCTCATTACCCACCAGCCCAGGGACCGTTCAGACCCGAAAACCCCCCCCCCCACCTCCCACCACCACTCTTTCCGAACAGCATTGTGGGGGCTTGAACGTTCACTTAATCGAAAATGAAAAATACAGGGGCACCCGATGGATCTGTTCCTCAAAATATCTGTTCTTCAGGCACATTTTTGCTGGCTGGGAGATGTGGAAGAAATAATAGTCCTTGGAAGGAAAGTGTTGCCGGGAAAAAGATAATTCAGGGTGTCAGAGGGGATTTAAAGTCTAGAATAGCTGCTACGGGTTACTTGTATGGGTTACTTACCACTCAAGATCTGAATTGTGCCCTATGAAACTTCCCAGTAAGTCAGGTTGCAGGTTGTAAGGTTGCTGGCTGGGAACTCTTCCATCAGTCTTGCTGGGAGTGAGGAACAGATAATTTTTTTCCAGCAATCTCCCAAAATGCTTAAAATAGTCTCAGAAAACTTTATTCACGCTTTGTTGTTGTTTTTAGGTCTTTTTCTCAAAATTTCCCGTTGGGTGCCCCTGAAAATAAAAGACTCAACACGCGGCACGGACTTCGAAAATCTGATTATTTATTGAAGATTTCATAAAATAGACTACCCTCTCAACATCTCATGGCTGTTGCGACTGAATTGTCTAGAATAAAGTCATAAAGGAGAATGCTGAAGTATAAGACTCGTGCAATGATAAACAGACGACAGCTTTTCATTGTCCAGAGACTTACAGACCCATACAAATGACGTCAAAATGTTCAAATGTTCAAATGGAACCACTGACAAGCCTCAGTGGTTTCACTGCAAAGTTTTGAACAGTTTCAAAGGTTCACAGCCTGAGGTTACCTCTAATCCTGGGTTAAATGTGTAAACGGAACATGTGAGTTGTCATAGTAACTAACTAAACCTGGGATTCTTTGTTAATAGTTCTGCCAACTTTCCACAGGAAACCTATGCACCTTACAGCGAGCTGCATGTGCTTCATGCAAATGTGTCACAAATTTCATCGACTTCAAAGGCAAGGGAAATACATGGCGCTTCCTAAATCTGATAAGTCTTCTACTGGCCAGGAACTAGCACATTGGCAATTTTAAAAAAAGTATGACAAAGGTTATGGTTCGATTCCTGGTCAAGCCTGAATTTTTTTTCAGGTTCTTTTTTAACCGCTTAGGTTGTTTATTCATTTGCGAGGATCATTTACACTTTCATAAAACAATTATAGTCAACTGCTTTTCAAAGAGTCACCTCTCCAGAAAAGAGCAAGTTTTAAGTCCCCAGAGAACATCCACACATTTACTTTTGTTTGCTGTCCACAACGCTTTTGCTCTGCCGGGTTTTCTCTTTTAATGACATATTATGTCATATCGTCAGGATTAAAGCGCTAAAATGCGCATCGGTAACAAATAAATACGTTCTATCTTTTGCCAAACGATTGGTGTCAAATTAAAGCCGAGTCCTTCCCTCTTCCCCATACCGGTCACCTCTCAGTAAGCATTTTACCTCCGTCCCCCCGGGTTGCCGCTGGGTTCGAGTGTATAAGCGCGGTCCCCTAACTAACGGAGTCCTTGTGATGTAGGGACGTGCTCATAAGAGTAGAAACTGTTTGACTTTCCATCTCATGTCTGATGTAGTTGGCACGTGACCGGGGGTCGCTATTTACGTCGCGGAAGCATTGTCCACAGATCTTATTGAATGCTCTTCTGTATTCGTAGTTTCGAAGAGAGTAAATCATTGGGTTGAGAACAGTATTCAAAAAAGTGAGAAACATCAATATTTCCAAAGTCTTTGCTAGTTCGTGATTGGTCGTTCCTCCAGAGTAAATGTGCACCAAGGATGCCACGACCACTGGTAGATAACAGCCCAGAAAGGCACCAATAACGATTGCTGTAAAAAAAAAAAAAAGATAAACGTGTTTGAGGCCGGTTTTCCCTAGCGAAGGAGATGGGACGTCATTCTCCCATAGGCCGCGATCCTTTTTGTCAGAATAGAAAATAAGCAGATAAAAACTTTCCAGAACAATTCTTATGGATAAAACTGGCGTGAAACTAGTTATTTTTGATTAGAAGTAAAAAACAGTAAACTACCATTTTAAAAGGGGAAAACTTGGTCACGTGGTACAAATTCATGTTCGCCGTTTGGTGTAAACGTGACTCTTAATCCCTCTATTATAGCTGACCGGTGCGTCCCCTGTAACGATCCCAAAAAGCAATTGCGTGACACATTTCGGATCCAGTTCCCCTCTCGTTTCTAAAGTGGCGAACAAAAGACTGCTTGCGACGATCGAAGATCTTAGAAAGCAATGACCTCAACCAGGGCTGAGTTGCTCAAAGCATGATTAGCTTTAACCATTGGTTAAGCAGTATCAAAACCAATACGTTGTCAAGGTATTTAACGCTGGTTAACGCTAACCATGCTTCGAGCAACTGGGCCCAGGTTGATATCCAGCGGTTTTAGTGAAAACAAGGGTTTGGGTTTGATGTTCAGTCTCGCGGGCTCATAACACCTGGTCTCCGTCGTTGTTATGTCGCAAATGAAAAACAGCCTCTACTAATGAAGTTGCTAAAACTAATTATACAGAGGCGGATCCAGGATTTTTCGTAGGAGGGGGTGCACTACTAAGGAATGGCGTAATTGACTGGTGACGTAAACAAATTTTAATAGCGAATACGAAGAAGACTTTCGACTAGGCAATAACATAATGTGACCTGCTGAGAATACATATCAAATGATAAAGCAGATTTTGTATAACTGCGAAAACTTTTAATTAGAAAGCCGCAGGTCATTTTTTAAACAACATGGACGCAACTTCCCAAAATAGGTGTAAGTCAGAAATTTTAATTATTTTTCCAGACGATATTGATAGCACTGGACTTCACCTCAAGAATGAGATAAGTTTCTTTATGCTGCCGGCTGCTAACAGAGACAATACGATGTTACCATGATGTACATCTTCTAGAAGTTATTCAAATTTGAGAGGTCAGCATATGCCGACAGTTTCGCAGACAAAAACACAACAAACACAAGCCTTTGAAGGTCAAGTTTGTCCTGAAACAAAGTGGCCCAGTGGTATATCTGTCCTGTTTAGAAAATGCCTCAACAACCTTTCAGTTTCCGATGACCAACTGCAGTGGTGAAACTTTCACTGAGGTCCAGAATGATTTTTTTTTTCTAGCACGGCAGGGTTATTTTTAGATTTATAATAAATGTTATAAATATTCTGAACGCCAAAACCATTACGTAAGGAGTACATACTGTAAGGACTTTGAACTTTACAAAGTGGCTGGCAAAGACCGCATTAAAACTCTTGTGTGACTGGAGAAGGCAAAGAACTCAGCCAAAATGGCATCGCATATATTGTGCATTAAAATTAATTTTCTCATTCTTATATTTTAATATACAGCGAATGGAATAAGTATAAACAAATTTTGAACGCTCTGTTTGAAGTCTTCTCTTCCGTTATGAAATGCACCAATAAAAACGCAGCGAAAATGCATGCGGTCCAATTTCCTCAATCACTTCGCGTCGGAATCAAGCTTGATCGCGCATTGCGTTATTTATATATAAACTCACCGAGTGTTTTTGCCCATTTTCTCTCTCTTGCTCTGGGGAGCCGGCTGCTTTGAACTCTAACTGTAGACTCAACGACCGCAACTCCTACTCGGTTGGCCTGGTACCAAGCAATCTTGCTAATCCGATAATAAGCCGCCATCATCGCGATAAGTGGCAAAAAGAAAAGAAATGTCACGTTAATGAACATGTGTGCCCGGTTCATTCTGTCTTTTTCCTCAATAAAACCTTCGTTGATACATACGTAAAAACTCGGAAAGCCGTGAAGGTCTGTAATCACCGCAGGGAGGATATGAATAGATATTAATGGAATAATCCAGATTGTTAACAAAATGACAGTAATCCGCTTTGGTGTAACTAAGAATCGGTACCGTAGAGGATAAAATATGGCTATATATCTGTCCAAGCTCAAGGTAAATAAATGCAAGATACTGACATATAATAAAACGCCAAAATTTTGGCCCATAAGATTGCAGAGATTCGGCTCTTTCCCAATGTTGTAGTAAGTTAGTACTTGGAAAATAATTAACTGAACGACTAGAAGATCTGTCAAAGCCAAACTGGCTACTACGAAGTTCCGTACCGTTAGACGTAAATATCTGTCCTTCAGAACAACGAAGCATATACTTGAATTACCAGCGATGTTTGCCAAGGCTATGAGACAAAGGAAGGAGACTTTGAAGATTTTTTCTATCCGATCTGCCAGTGACAAATCCTGCATGGCCGATGGATCGGTTGTTTCCGTAGCATTCTTTAGCCCTGACGACATATTTGTAGAAAACAGTGCGTCCGTTACTCAATAAAAACAACCAGTTTAAGCGAGATAAAGTTGATCCCCCAGGCTTGACTACTAATAAAACTGATTCTTTTTATAGATTTTGAAGATAAACATCTGGGATAAATTATAGCATGTTCCGGACGTTTTTTTCTTGTAACACCCCGAAGCAAAAATGAACCGGGATGTTTTGCTTTCGTGTTTTGTTGAAAACTTGCTGGCAAGGGCACCGATCGACCGATTGCTTATTCTTATCATATCTTAGACACAGGAGGGCTTTATTGCTCACATTTACCACTTCATTGGGTTTCAAAGGGTATGTTATATTTAGATTACTTGTTATTCATAAGCATGCACTATCAATACCTTTGTTCCTATTGCGTGGTTTTCCTTGATCCTTTGTTTCCAGTGGTTTCTAAAAGGCCAAGCCTGCTAAAACTTGAACGTTTTCCAAGCTCATAACACTTCTACTTTTAAAATGACAAGTACATTGCTTCCAAAACCAATGTGTACCTTAATCATTGCCCTTTATCCACTTTAAAACTACGTCATGTATCACAATCATTGGCACGACATTTTTCCATTTTTATAAACATTAAGAATATTGCTTCATGACCGAAGATGCATGTGATTGTTCCCTCGCGTTTGACATGTTTGAGCCGGCACGATAGACGTTCTTTTGTCTTAGCATTTTAACAGCCTCGCGTCTGTTAAATCACAAATTTTGAGCCTAAAAACTCAAGTGCTACAACAAAATGTATGTATATAAATGTATAAAAAATAAAACATTCAATTAATGTTTTTTTCATCTCCAGGAGGTATGAACATTATTACCTAGGTTGCTGAGGAGTCTGTCACAGCTGATCGTTAGATCTACTCTCATCAGCTGACTAAATTTAGTGGAACTGATACTTGTGAAGGTATGTGGTTTTTAGGACCTCTCTGACATGTGGGTCTCCGAGGCTGGTGACACTTGACACCGGAAGATGGATTATATTTTATTGCATTACTCAACACAAAGGGAAACAAACCATTGTGAGTATCTTAGAAGGGTGGGTCTTAGTATTCAATTGCCTTACAGTGCCATCCATTACCAATGTTTCGGATAAGTACGACTATATAACCTTGGAATGTCTACCCCACGTTGTTCAAAATGATCCGAATACTCACACCTGCTATATATACATTTCCAGAGTTTTAGCAAAATAATGAAAAAATAATACTGATATAGAAATAAGCGCCGACGCGACATGTTGATTTTAATCTACAGGTGGTATGAAGCAAGAGCGTTACTGGGTTGTGTTCGTTGTTTTCTGTAGTGCGCTGCTGCAAACCTTAAAAACACTATTATTAGTTATCTGGCTTTGCAGGTCAGTTGTGTTTTTAATGGAGTTACCCTTATCCTCTGAGGTTGGTCTCCTGAAAAATCATAACTTTTGAGGTAAAGTAAGATAGATCGAAAATTAATAGTGTTTGTTCAACTCAACAGAAAAAAAGTATTGTCCGTATTTTTAGAAAATAACTTTGGTATAATAACTTGTTCTCTTGCGTGCCCTCGGGCATTATAATCTTTATTTTTCTTTACTATTATCATAGCGAAAACCAAATCCTGCTGTATGAACTTTAATAACAAAACAGCAGGAAGAATCGGACAGTCATGTGTTTCTAGCATAAAACGGTCCTGCTGGACTCAGTCCGAAGTATCAGAAAAACTCAATTCGTTTTTGTTTTTGCTATATTTTGTTATTAGTATAGCTCATACACTGTATTTTGCTAGTTTGTGTCAGAAGTACTTTACACTGCTTGGGTAACTCTATCTTTCTACACTGTAAATTTAAAAGATTTGTTTTAGGTCTGAAAACGAGACTGTTTCCTCAGATACTAGACTTGGTAGCGGGCAAAAAAACGGGGAGGGGGAGGGGAGAGAAGTCCCTTCCCTTCCTCTCCACCCGTCTAGACGCCTGCCACGCACGATGTAGTACACCATTAGGGTGTAATATGACTGTGTTAATCAGGGCCAATATAGCCTAATTTTCTTGAGTTGATTTAGACCCACGGACGGAAAAGAGTCCCAGCGTGGGCTGCAATAGATATTTTATGGCAGCATATGTTTATTTTGGTTACAAACTGTGCTCAAATAGCTAAACCAGAGTCTGAAACAAACTTCGTTTTGCGACGCACAACTACGGCGATCCTCTGCTGACGGCGTCTGATATACCCCGCTGCCGGGTTTTCATATAATCGTACGGACCGTCTGTGTTTTCCCAGTGGTCCCATAAACTTTGCGACGACTGAGGACAGCGTAAGCTCTAGCCTGTTCCCAGGCTCCAAGATAGTAATGTGCAGAGATCATAAAAAATAAATGCAAAAAACGCACAGGAGCGTGGAAGAGAGAAGGCGCCGCGTGTCTTGTTTTCCCTTGACCTTATTTTCGCGACCTTCTTACGATCTAACAGCCCGGCATAGGCTAAGAATGCTCAGTCGGTTAAAGAACAAAAAAATTTAAACTCTTCTGACGCAAAACTCGTGCGTAAAACTTGCTAAAACGGATGTTAAGCCATATAGTAATTAAACTAATTGATCCTACAGAACGTTAAATTATGATTTAATACCAGCAGTGATGGGGGGTTAATATGTGAGTTCCAATGATTACCTTTGGAATTTGCGGTTGCATATGAATGTCACCAAAGTGGAGAAGTTTGTTCAGTTCATTCAGTTACGGAGACGAGTCAACTCAGGTAGATGGATTTGACACCCAAAATATAAGTAGTATCTTTTATGCTTTTGAAGCTTTTTAACAAGTATAACCCTAGTGAATGAAGTACGGAATACAGTAACTTTTAGCAGTACAAGGAAATGCAATATCACTTTCATTTCCTTGAAAAAAATGAACACAACTCAGCATTTTTGAAAATTAAAGAGCCCTAACGACTGTTAATGGAGGCTATTACTCTGCGTAAGATTTTTTTTTTAGCAGAACATGTATTCATTGTTATTAATTTGCACCAGTTGCTATCAAAATCGTAGAGAAATCCAGGACTTCTGGAGAGGTTTTCTCGTTGCAGTTTATTCCTGCACCATGCGTGATCGGCCTTTAGCCCGGTGGTAGAGATTGCATTTTCGTCTCCACTCCTACAAACGAGTCGCTCCCCTAGTTTCGAAGATCACGTGATCAAAAGAAAAGACGTGCTTTGAGTTTGAAAATGGTTGTATTTGTTTAAATCCTCATCTACAAAGAACTTACGGATGACCAAGAGGGGACATCCTCTCTTGGGATTACGTAATAACCGTTCAGTTATTACAGCTCGCGAAAAGGAGTCGAAAGGGTCACTCTAGCCCATTTTCATCCTAGTTGAACAAGTCAGAACCAGCTTGATATTTATCCACAGGCTCAGAAGTAACAAAGGCTATCTATGAAAATTTTTTTTCTTTTGGGGTTTGAAACTTCAAGAGTTTTGTTATTTCGCGTGCTTGAATCAAATAAATAAGGGCGATAGAGAGGTTTAATTGCCAATCCCCATTGCTAGCTGAATGTTGTTAATGTGCATTGACAGGCTTATGTTTTAATAATCTCTTGTGTTGTGCGTATTTTTAACAATGTCGGTGATAAACGTGTCCAGCTGAAGATTTTTTGTTAAAAGTTCTTCCATTTCAATGAGACGAGTCACGCCAGTAATGAATTGATGAATGAGTTCCACCTGACAAAATAAAAATAACATTGAGGTTTAATTTTAACCTTAAGTTTGAAATTTAATTTTTCCTGAATGCACGAAAGAAAAATAAAATTAAACCAAGGATACAAATGAACAACAACGTCCACAGATATCTCTTCTAGTTAGTGTTAAAGTAATGATTAAAGTATCAAGAAAAATACTTGTGCAGGGCTCTGCAATTCACGGTCATTCACATATTTCAAGTAAAGTATGAATCGCGAACGTGATAGGGAGATCACGATGGAGTGTAACTTGACAGCACGTAGGGGCACCCAAGAACTTTTTTCTGTAATTTTTGGATAACCGTCACATTCGTCCAAGATATTTTTACTAACTTACCTACGATTTTCGGAAGTTGCGTTTTTTACAATTTTATTACCAAGATATTGCGATTATTGTTTAAAAATTTGAAATATTGGTATTGAGACAAAACGTCCCATAGAGTTTTCTAATGTATTAAAGTACGGCCGGCTGATCCATGTCTTCGAAGTTTCGACCGGACCCTCAGGGTAGCTAACATGCAGTTTTCTTCGGATGAGACAAAAAAGACGCCCAAAGTTCCCCTAAGCTTGTAGCTAAAATGTGGAATGGTTATGAAGTCCGTCAGACTCCATTGTAATAATGTTTTTGTGGACCTGACGATGCACAACGTTCAATAGCATTCCTAACATTTTGATCTTACTGACCAATAAAAACGCACCATTAATAGGCCTTGTCACGGTTTTGGAAGCCATCTTGACGAGTAGACAGCCGCGTGAGAAATTACAGTGTTTGTATGAGAATCTAATGTCGAATAATTTTCCTAAAACAACTGTTCTGAAAAAAAATGTGAATGGAAAATCGATGTTAACTAAAGCTACACCAGTACACAGCAAAGGATTTTACTAACAAATTTTTAGGGCCGTAACTGTCGTAACTGTGATCAATAATTAGTTGGCAGGAAGAGAAATTCTTACCGACAAATGTTTAGAAAGTGGTTCTAGCGCTTGTAGCTGCATGTAACGCCCTCAGATTTTTTCAGTAGAATCGTTAGGAGTGAAGCTTTAGTTTACAATTCATATTTTCAGTTTTCAGGAAGAGCCGTTTTACGGAAATTATTCGACATTAGATTGGCATACAAAAACTTTAATTTCTCACGCGGCTACCTACTCGTCAACATGGCCGGCTTTCAAAACCGTGACAACAGGCGCGGATCTAGGATAAATACTGACCGATTTCCTAAACGAGGGGCCGAGGGAGCAAGCTTCTAGGGGAGCCCGGATGCACTCCCAGGAATTTTTTTGGGTTTTAACTCTCTGAAGTTCCCTTTCCCCGGTTTCTGTCTAATGCCCGGAAACTGGAAAAAGAAAACATTTGTCCAGACCATTTTCCAGATTTCAACTTGGAAAGTTCTACTATTATTATTAAAAATATGTTTATTATGAAAAATCTGACCGATTTCCGTAAAACGGTGGAAACCGGTTTGGATCCGCGCCTGGACAAGGTCTAGGTTTCTGGTCACATTTTGCCAACAGAAAAAGGCAAAGGACTGTGTACCGTCAGAAAGCTTCCAACATAAAAAGCAGCACTGTTGTTTTTGAATTTGCCGGTTTGCCTTCTTTTATAACCAGTCTCCTCTAATAACTATGCTCTAAGACATCCAGACAGATAAATTAAACCATTTGAGACACTTTTAACGTAGTTGGAAGCATTCGGTCGTTGGACTCCCCTGGGCACATGCTTAAAAAAACGATAAAAACTTAACGATAAAGTGGCATTAGGTTTGTCATGACAATTAATATTAGCTTTTAGTTGTAATAAAGAATGCAAACTACAGAGAAAACTTACATGCAGTAGGCAGCCTTAGCAAATAAGAATAGAAAAATCGGTATTACAGTAATCACCACTTTAAAACAGCTTTATATTACTGAAAACACATGTTCTCACTTCGTTTTCTCCCATTCTTTTATCATTTGACACTTCAAATATTTTTCTTCGACATGCTTGAGGATCTGAGTAACGTAGCCCTGTAAGAAAAGAAAAAACAAAGGCACTTTAATAGTCTTTAATACCACTGTATCTCCTCGTTTCATGCAACTATCCATGATTTTTAGTCTCAGAAGTAGAAGATTCAGATCTTCTGTAAAGTGGGAAACCCGCTCAGCTTATATCCATTTCCTAATATCGGATAAGAGGGGTGAGGGAATGCCTCAAAAATAATTTTTGTTGGCCCTGGGGGCCTCAGCTTGGCCTAAATGGTTTATTTTTAATACAGCTGTAAATTGGGTCACTGACCTGATTTTTCACGTCGTAGACCAAAAGACTTTAAAACAAATGGGAGTCTGGCATCCTGAAAAAAAAAAAATTGATGACTATTGCACCACCCAATAGAACGGAGGGCTGTATACAAACCGTATTCGGATAGTACTGAAAATTCTCTAGAACCTCGAAATTCATTGGAACTTCGAATAGCAAGCAGCTATATTGTTTTAGGGGTAAGGTCCATTGTTGCTGTTGGTTGTTTATTGTTGTCTCTGCAGCATGTCACTTACTTTCTTTAGCTTTGCCTCAGAGCACTCCCTCATTGTAAAAACTGAAGCCTGAGAATTGCATCTTAAAATTTGCCATTCAATTAATCTCTATAAACTTCACCAACAATGACCTCATGCTGTAACCTGCGGACGTACGGGCAACTAGGGAAAAAAGAAACCTTTATGTCTTTCCCCCCCTCGCCTTTCAAAGAAAAAGGGGAAAAGGACCGCTCTATCGCAGGTTACTTATAGCCATGCCGATGCAATTTTGTGAGCTCTCAAATTTAGGATTAAATCGATTTTGTGGCTAAAAGGGTAAATGTATATTTATACTGAGCCTTATTTCATAAAATTATCGCATCATTTGTTTATTTACATATATAATGCTTAACTTACTTTATTTTCCTCCTTTTCCAGTTCTGTTGTGAACTGAACTGAATTGAACCTAAAAAAATGTTATAGCTAACATTTATCATCACCTTTGAAGTTAAAGGTAGTTTCACATTGACGCTTACACGAAGTGAGGTGCCAAGTTCTAGAGGCCTGGAAGCCAGGTATCCATAGTGATGCGTTCGCATAAACTCGTATCCATCCTTGCTAAGGAAGTTTTCTATCTCAATAAGCAATCCTTTCAGAGTTGACAATACGGCCCATAGGTCACCATCAAATTTCTGGCAAATAACCTTCATGTGTTCGTCCTCGTTTACCACAACCAACAGACGGTTTTGAACGTCATACCATATGCCTCGCCCTTCTTTCCACACGCGGTTTGTAAAACATCGTTGCTTTAAAAACAAGTGATGGACCTCAAGAATGTGATTGAGCTCCTGGTCTTGAAGCCGGCTCAGAGGAATGTATTTACCCTGAAGACTGTCTAATTTTCAGAATTGAAATGTAAATACCGGTAGTAATGAGTTACAAGCCTAGGCGATTGGGAATATCAAACATGCAGCCGTAAAGCAACCTTCCTGCATCTCGTATTTGCCCCATGTTTCATCGTACCCATAGACGGGATCAAACATTTCTGTGGGGGGGGGGGGCAGAAAAATAGATGAAAGGTAGGAAGCTTGATTGGAATTTCTATAAGGCTGAGGGGTATTAGAAAAATATCTTTCGTTGGGTTTTTAATTAATGTAAATATTAAATCAAATATAGAATTTGTTGCTTTTGTTATGGTCAAGGCTCTCAAAGCAGAGGCGACCACGTGATTAGCTTTTCCCGCCTTTTTTTCGCGTTTGAGCCAGCTGTTTTCAACATGAAGAGGCTGGTTTTCATTTTCATGGAACACGCGAGTGAAAAGTGATTTTTTTGTCATTAGATGATACCATTTTAGTTCATATCGTGAAAAAAATATCGAGGGGACTGTGATAAACTTGCTAGCAGGCTACAACTACCTTTTAGTTTATCCAAAACTCCTGTCACGATTGCCTCGACAAAAAGTCTTTGGTCTTTAGTGCAGAACCAGGAGAATGGAAGACCTTTTAAAGACCTGAGCACCCGTAATCTGCAGGAGAGCACTTGTGGTTTATCAAGCAAAAAATTGTTAGGGGCGTCTACACAAAGTCTTGTTGTTTGTAGATGATCCGCGCTAACTCCGTGAATGTCTCTGACTAGCCGATCAAAAACGCTTTGAAATAACACGTATGATTCCTCATCCCCAGCAAGAATTCCTATCTTATCTTTCTCGCGAATTCCACGGCGTAATCCATCTTTAAGGGTGAAACCTCTCGCGGTTTTGAGTTTTCCTAACTCTTGAAGTCTTGGTTCTGTGAGATAGGAGCAGATAATGCTGTCGTTTTTCTCGAGTTTTCCAACAAGAAAGTCTGTTTCTTCGTCTACTTTTTCTTGTTCATTGTGAAAAGTTACGTTTGATGCGGAAAACAGTCTTGCACCAACCGATCTTAGCAGTGCCAATAGTCCTTGATCTCGGTCAGTTCCTTCACTGGTCATGAAGCAATAGAGAGCCGTTGTTTGGATTCTGACGTCATAATTAGAGGGAATTTTCGCGCGCGCTTGCGGAAGAACGCCCGTGAGGTCTCTTCACTCCGGCTCTACCTTAGGCTATATATGTTTACACAGTAGCAGATAGCTTATCAAAATACGTCGGCCTGGTATGAAAAGAAACGGCCGAAAGAACTGGGACGTTTGGCAATTATTACCCCTAACTGGGCCGAGCTGGGCCTAGGGCTATTTGTCTGACCCTGTGTGACCCCTCTGATCTCGATATCCTCCCTACGCCCGGTGAACCTTGACGAGCTCGTGGGCCGCGAGGGGGACAAATTCGAGTCGCAAATAAGCCTGGCAGTCCAGAAACGGTGTAGGAGAACACGCTCATTGTAGGAGAACACGCTGATTGGCCAAAATCTGACAGCCACGGCGACCATCTTGCCCAATCAGGAACCCGGACCAATACAATCTCGCGCGCTCACCCACACCCACCGTCCCCGATCGCCTCCTCAAGCGTCTGCTTCAACGGACCTTCGCAGTAAATTAATCATTGGCGCGTGTGTAGCCGGTGAATAGATTGTCTTCGGATCAAGGTCAAAGTTAAAGTGACACTGTTTTCTAAACAGTCACGTTTTATTATTTTCAAACTAATCGTTCGTAGTTAGCGGTACAAAAATGAAGTTTTGGCTTCGCGCGGAATCAAAACCGCACGAGGAACGAACGCCGCTTACACCATCGACGTGTGAACAGTTGCTTGGTGCTGGTAAGATTATCGTTGTATATTGTAGCTTAGCTTTTGAAACGAATGTTGTCTGGTACTTCGGTGTGATTGGTATTGTTGTTGTTTCCTACACGGTTGATTGTGTAATCCTAATCATTAAAGCGTAAACGAGTAATTTGACTAACTACGAAGGAAAAAGTTTAGTTTTATGAATGAAACCACCACTCAAAGCGGCTTTGTGAGGTGGAACACGGCTTGGTGTGGTAGTTTCAGTTTAAGAAAACTTCTTCCATCATGATTAGTCAAATTACTCGTTCACGCTTTAATGATTAGGATTCCACAAACAAAAGGGGACGTGTAGGAAACAACAACGATTAGAAACCACTATCGACGAGCATTGAAGCGGATTTTGATTATTAAATAGCATTTATCGAGCTTCAATATCTTAAGTTCTTAACGCGTTTCTAACATTTAACCTTTGTTAGGAAAACCGAGGTCACAGTCTTAACATTATTAGAAAACCCGCGTTCCGCGATTTTGGAATTTCGAGAAAGTTATAAAGCTTACGTTGCGCACGACTGAAACATTAATTTTCTAATCTACTGATCGCTTATAAGGCCTTCATGTTAGGAATTAGTCAATAGAATTTAGGTATAAACAAATATTTCCTTTTGAGCTGCTTTCACTTAAGGCCAGTAGATAATGCGTGGGAGAATTCGAGACAGTTATGCAAACCTCAGATTGTTGGGTATCTAGAAAACGATGACCTAAAAAATGAAGACCTAGAAAATGAAGGCCTAGAAAACGAAGACCTAGAAAACGAAGACCTAGAAAATGATGACCTAGAAAATGATGACCTGGAAAATGATATGACCCAGAAAACAAAGACCTAGAAAACGATGACCTAGAAAATGATGACCTGGAAAACAATGACCTAGAAAACCTAGAATTGCAGGGGAGGACAGGGATGGGGTGGCTGGAGGAGTACTGAAAGCAGGAAATGAAAGGATGGTAGGAGGGAATTATGAAAGGTTGGGAGACAGGAGAATAAGGAAAATTACAGAAAAATAGTAAACATTATTTGAATAAACAGCTAAAGGTATGAAACCAACAAATGAAATGGTGGAAATTGGAATGCTAGGTACTTGAGGTCTCACTCCCCTCTAAAATTCGCAAGGGTAGTGGCCAATAAGTGGTTACTCATTGTGGTTAAAAGTATAATGGTTTTTTTTTCTTGAGCAATCACGGAAAGTGTTAACAAAAAGAGTCCGCAGAACGAAGTATTTCTAAAAGTCTAGTGTTTGTAGTGGTATTAAAAGCCTCAATTATAAAGAAAATTCTCACACTTAGGTAAAGATGACTGATTGATTAATGTAACTTTGTAAAGATAGTAGGAAGACAGGGTTTTTGTGAAGATTTGAAGTAGCTGGGACAAATGTGTCAATAGCAGGGGCTAAAGATGGTGGCAGAGCCACCATCTTTGCATGCAGTGCCAAGTCGGGGTAGAATTTTAGAATTTTTAAGGCCCCAGGATGCATTTTGGGCCATTTCTGGCAAATTTGGCTTTCTGTTTTAGCTCCTTTAAATAAGGTATTTGCTGCTTAAAAACATAAAAATACAATTCTTGTTATTCGGTTTCTGTTTTAACAACAGGGAATAAAATTATAAATATCTATAAGCACCGCGTGATAAAATGGCCGGGACGAGAACTGAAATAGCCGAGTAAAGGTCCTGGTGTCCCGGGTCTAACAAAAACCCTGGGAAGACCTACATTGATTGTTCCAGGGGTTTCAATAAGCACCGACGGCCGACGAAACGTGTCGGCTACTTTGCTCATAGAGGTTCGCTACTTTTTTCTAGAAAGAAGAAGCAACTAGTTTGAATAACATTGTAAACAAAAAATATATCATAAAATCTGAATGAAAACGTAATAATATTATGATGAGTTTTCTTATAGGCCCACTGGTTTTACATTAAGCTTTAGTCATGTGAATGCTATATTTTGTCATTTTTTCATAAGTTTCATTATAGGTTTACACGGAAAAAGTATGTAATTCCCCTCAAAAATCAGAAGATAAGCAACAACACAGGGAAGGGGGGATGGGAAACCTGATCCGTCCACCATTTTGTTTTTTTGCAGCACAGTCAAAGCAGCCTCCATTTTTTGATTAGGCATTGCCCTCACAGGCAACCCAATAATAATTTGCTGAAGTATTATCCTGTCCAAAGGACAAGTAGGATTGATAACATGTATGTACCACTTGTCTGGAGCAAGCCTGATCAGTGTTTTTGTAGCAAGCAAGCTTGTTTTCCTCTTTTTCAGGTCATCAGGTATTTGTGGAAAAGTCAAAGGACAGAGTATATAAGGAAAGTGACTATGAAAGGTGAGCATTAAAGACCCTTATCCATAAGAACCACTTTAAAAAAATGTTAATGACGCTGGAATGTTTCATTGAGAATTTGCAGTGGTTAATTACGAGTAGTTACTCTTGACCATTGTACTTACATTTTGTAAGGCTAAAGCAAAGTTTGGTAATGTTTGGTATCAAGATTTTCTTAAACTTCAGTGAAAAAGAAGAAATTCATGTAAGAAGCAATTTGATAGGTCAAAAGCGAGGTTTGATTTTCACATACCAAGGTTGATGGAGCAGGGATCATTTCAATAATGGTAATATTAATTGATGCTGTGTAAGTGCCTCCTTTATCCAGACAGGTAGCATTCCTTATGATTTTCGGAAATCTTTATCAATTTTTTTTCTGTGCTTTTCAATGTGCTGTTTATTTTTATACTTCCAAAAGGAGGCTGTAGCTTTCCTTTTTACCCTGGTCTCCCAATGCTTTAGGTGGGGTAGGGCTCGGAGGAAATACATGTACTGGTAAACTAGCTTGTTTTCCTCTTGCCTAAATGAAAGCAAAATGTTGCTTTCATATTCAGAAAACCATGTATACCTGAAATGTTTATGAATGTTTGTTGCGTTTTGACCAGTCTCAAACAAAAATCTGGACTTTTGCGAGCAAGCCACAAAATCACAAACTAATATTAGTACATATTAAACCGTTGTGTCTGGCAGTTCAGTATTCTAACACCTGACTGGCTTCTGAGTTTCACTAACAGTAAATGTTATGGTGTTTGTTTAACTACATATAAGTATACTATTAATTGAATTTTTCCTTCGTCAGGATTGGCTGTAAAATTGTTGATGAGGCAAGCTGGCCTAATGCACCTTTGGATGCCTTTATTGTGGGAATCAAAGAGCTTCCAGATGAAGATCGCCCCCTTCAGCATCGTCACATTTACTTTGGTCATGCTTATAAGGTGAGAAACATAGCACAGCACAAAACCTTGGCTTCCAAACAGTTTCACATTTTTGATTACAAAACTTTGCTTCCTCCTTCCCAACAACTTAATAAATCAACGTGTGTTTTGAATATAAAAAGTGAGATAAAAAAAGAGGATAATTTTTCCATCTGCCTCGCACATTTTTTTTCCTCAGTGATGCATGCGGAATAAATGGTTTTCCTCTTTGCTATAGTAACACAATGTAGAGAAAGCAAAATGTCAAGGTTAATAATCCTTTCACTTTCAAGAATGTCAAATAATTAAGATAATATGAAGGAAGTTTTGGTAAAGCTCAGCCACACTGGCCACACTGGTAAAGCTCAGGAGAGGGTTTCATGGAATTGTCACACCATAGGATTTTGTCTAGCGACTAAAAAACTACAAGTTTTTACAAAACAAAACATTAACTCACGGTTTTCAGTAAGAATTTTAGTAGCAGGAGAAAGGTGTTGTTACAGGAGAATATTTGGAAAGAGTCTCCACGTCTGAATAATAATATTGTAGGCCACCAAACACTTGCTGAAGAATTCTGCCTAGTTAACAGAGAATTCTCCGATCTCCAATGCCTAATGAACATCCTTTTAACAGCAGCAGAGGATGTGAAAGTGCTGCTAATGAAGTTTCTTTGATAACTGACACTGAAAGTGAAAGGATTGAAGATCGTTCTTGTCAGCTTAATTTTTGTGAGATTATTTTCTGGGTGACAAGGTTAAAGGGATGTGGACTTAGAAATGAAAATTTTGTACAGCCACCAAGGCTAAATTCCGGCCACTTCTTAGGTCAAGTATGTGGGGTTGCAAGGTTAGAAAATGTGAAATCCATCTGGAGCACATTATACTGTATATTAGATACTGACCCATAGCAAGCTCTGTACTTACATCAGTGAGTGGATGAAGGCCATTGCTAAACCCTTGTCTAGGGTGGGAGTGCACTGAGTATCAAATTTGCTGTTGTAATTGCTTCCCCTGGGTGTGTCCAGAGGATGTAGTGTTGTAAAAAGCAGTGGTGGATCCAGGGGAAGGCCCCCCCATTATTTTTGGGCCAAACTGAAGCCTGAAAAGACATAAAAAATTTTGGGGGGCTGTGCATCCCCCCTAATCTCAGGGTCTGGATGACCGACCCCCTTCCCTTGGTCTGAAACCGCCACTGAAAAGTTATTTCTATCAGCAAATAGATGGTGGAACTCTATATTTTCTCTTTTGTTAATTGTCAGGAAGAAGAGATGTGCTCGGGCTGCCTTGTTAAGGGGTGTTGTCTTTCTCAAACCTATCCGACATGTCAAATTGAGATGGAGGCTTATCTTTTTTTTTAAGTGCCACATTCAAAGTGGTGTCAATAAGAGGCAGCTATTTCTCAAAAAAAATTTAATTTTCAATTTTCTGGTTAGCTGACGAAAGGCTGGTTTTATGGCTGTATATCTCTCCACTTTAAAACAATTTTTTTTTTTGGAAACTAGCCTGCTGCAAAGTATGTCCTCCAATTTATTCCTTTGTCAGAAGAGGAATATCCTCAACAGCTATCACAAATGTGTTCTTGGATAACAAACAGGAGAGGGATCTTTTATGTGCTTTTGATCTTGGTGCAAATTACCACAAATTCAATACCCTTGAAAAGGGCTACAGTGACCTTTTTCTTCACGTCTTTATCAAAATCTGAGAGATTAATTTTTATAAAAGGTTTGTCGTCGTTAAGTGGTGTTCCCATTCTGACAGAGGAAGTAAGAAGGAGTGGTCTAAAAGCTGGGTTATTTGGAAGCCAAGGGTATCTTCCTTTTTATTAATTTATATTTATGTAACACAGGTCTTGACAATCAATTATTTTAAGTTCTCTTTCTGAATTTACCCAAAGAAGGCCACAGTTTTTACCGCTCTCTGGCTTGTGGGTATCATCAGCTTCCACATGATATTATAAGAACTGCTGCTCCTCGTATCTCACATTTGATTTTTTATGGTCCTCACATAGTGTGAGTGTGGCTTATCTTTGGGTAAATATGGTAAATGATTTTAGTGTTTTCCTAACCATTGGTGTTTTCTTTCCAAGAAATTGCTGCTAACATTCTGCCGATAGGGGACAGAGGTTAGACTGGACCCCATCAAAAGTAACATTTATAGTAGTATTGATAATCAGACAGAATAGGAAGATTCCATTAATTTTCTAAACATTCTACCAGCTGTATTATTACTTCTTTTCATAGAAATGATTTTCTTCATTTGAAAATTTACAAAAATGTACTCTTTCATTTCTGGCATGTTGTTGGAATTTAGAACAAATAACTTCTCTGTCAAACTTAACTGCTGTAATATTTTTGATAGTACAGTATAATAATATTAAAATGCACTCTTGAGGTGCAGTAGCTTTGGTGAATAAGCCAATGCTTTTCTTTGGATCAGTAACCCACTGTTGTAATAATTTTACTGTGTTTATTTAATGATGCCGAACCAAGGTTTTAGCTGGATGAAAACTGAGTTGTTCTGCTGAATTTTGGAAGAAAGAAATGATTTTTGTTATTTCCTGGTTTTTAGAACTGCTATTGAGATGGATTCCCACTTTGTTATAATTTTCTGGAAAAAACCCTGTGCCTACACCTGTAGTCTTGTTGTTGTTAATCCTTGTTATCATCAAATACCGTCAAAATGTAATTAATCTGTAGTCAATCTAAGTTTGTTGATGATGATGACAATGCAGGCAAAGAGCTGAATGCTACTTCTGGTGCTCAATTTGCTATGTTACCATTGGTCTATTGCTGGTTTTCAGTGTCTCGCCATTCAAAATAGATCAAAATAAAAATCAAAACCATTCAATAGATAAAGTCCAGAATCTGGGAAATGAAAGGAGGTACATATACAAAGACCCTCACCAAGATTCAGGTCAGAGGAATATTTCTTATACAAGATATCCGAAGAAATGTTTTACCCAAACTTATAGAGATTTGTATGGACATGCCATGCTGGTGCTCACCTGGATGAGCTCCAACATGGCGGACGGAAACCAACAGAAACGTCTGTTACTGAGTTTTGCTACAAAAGCGTGAATTTATTCTTCGAGAAACTCATAAACATTAAAGTAATACTTTTTCTAATACATGAACTGTTTAGATAGCAAAATTTCCTGAAATAAGGCATTTTTTTAACCTACATGACAGCTCTCTTGGCCGTCATGTAACTGCCGCATCATGCAAAAGCTTAGAAGTGTACTCTATCACAAAACCGAGAACCCTTTTGAAACGAAAATTTGTATGAAAATTAGTTTTCAGCTGCTCTAAAGCATCGTGAAAGTAAAATCTCAGTAACATCGATAGTTTTTTAGTTTGAATTTTAGTGACATCATGTGAAAACCAACAATTCAGAGTTTGGATCTGAGCATGCTGTCACCACTGTTGTCACATTGTCTTTGCTAAATCTTTCTAATATTTTAGCTGTGAAGAATGGTGTGCTGGAATAGTTTTATTTGTTGTTAGCATTCCTTATTAGTTTAATTTTTATTTTTACTATACCAATTTATTGTTTTATTCAATTCTCGTTCATTTTTAAACCAGTGGTCAAATTAAAACCTAAACAAAAACATGTCACACTTAGACATTGAAGAAGCTGGATGTGGTGCAAATTAATTAGACTAATTATTTTTTCTTTAATTTAAGAACTTTCCATGATTATTATTAGGTATAATCTTTTATACGAGTTTGCAAATTTGGCATCCACATATCATACCCCATGAATAATAGAAATAGAGAAGTATATAAATTTTAAAATTGAAATAATGGTAATTTTTTTTCTGTTTTGTAAATTAAAAGAACTTTAGAAGCATTCCTTTTAGTATTTTGATGTAATCTAAACATTTTTTCTGCAGTTAGAGCTTGTCAGTTAAACAACCAAGAATGTGTCTAATGTGTTCAACTAGCAGTAGCCTAAATGCAAGAAATCATGTGCTTGCTTTTTAGGGGCAAGAAGGGTGGAGCAAGTTGTTGCAGAGGTTCCATAGTGGAGAAGGGGAACTGCTAGATGTCGAATTTATTGTGAATGAGCAGGGTCAGTATAATATTGTAACTCTCTACAGTCGAAAGTGGCCGTTGTAAAGAGATGGCTGTTATTGGGAGGTAGGGGTGTAATAAGAACAATTTTTTTAGGGACTACAACATGTTTATCGTGCTAAATTTATGCTGACTGTATCCCATAATGGTAATCCAATCATAAATAATATATAGAAATAAATACACAAAAAACTTGAATAATGTTTTGAATCAAACTGTTAACGTGACAAAATGAGCAAGACAATTTATGCTTACTGCAGCAGCAAAAAACAGAACACAATCCTAGTATGATTGCTGCGATTAATCTTTAACGCACAGTATGGATCAAATTTGATGACCATTCTTGACTTTTTCATCAGTCGTGGAAAAAACTGGCCGTTGTGGAGAGGTTATTTTGGCAGTTAAGGGGACGCACTTTAGTGGCCATTGCTGATGTAGAGAGTTGGCAAGAGCCAATCTTTGGACTTTCTGCCAGGACAAAGATTAGTGGCCGTTGTAGAGAGGTGGCCGTTATTGGAGGTTCGACTGTACTACATGTATACAAACTATTTAAAACTAAATCATAGTATACCATAGTCATATCAATCTATTATTTTCGTTATTAATTTTGGATCTTATTGATTGCCCACCCTGTTTTCTAGAAGTGAAAGGATTTTTTTATATCTGTGTTTTCTTCTCTACACCTTTCTTTTTGCTTCTCCTTTTCTCTTTATTGTTGCATGTGTAAATGACTTTTTGTTACTTTGCTTTCTCCAGGAGTTCGAGAAGTTGCAGAGTTTGGACCGATGGCAGGTATTGCAGGTGCTGCTCTTGGCCTTGCAGTTTGGTGCCATCAGCAACTGAGGTATAATCAAACTTTTGGTTCATAGAATGATAGAACATGTTACACTAGCTCAATTTCATCAGCCAGGCAAACAATGGCACCTTGCTAATGGTTTTTATTTAGCTTAATGTTATTCACATCAAAGAAGTTTACTCTTTAGAGGAGTATTGTGGTTAGCTGGCATGTCAGCATGATGACTTACACTTGAACATTAAGTTGTCATTGTAATCAGCATCCTTTTATTTTCCTTTTGAAGTTTTCATCAGCTGCCAATGGTGGCTACAATGAATAGTCTTTTACTAACTATTAATAATTTTACCTCAGGTTATAGCTTTCTTGTAATGTGAGATTATTGAAACAATAAAAGCACTCGGCCTGCGGCCTCGTGCTCTCATCTGTTTGTCGGTGTCTGGAACCCCTGATGAAACCCTTGCACTCATTTTTTGACATATTACATCATAACTGTACTGTAAGTCACAGTATAGCTTCAAGTTTATACCGTGGATTTCTCCATTCCTTTCCACACTGAACAGGCCAGATGAAATGTTTCCAAGTGTGTCCCCATACATGTCTGAAGATGATCTGGTAAACCACTTAAAGAGCCAACTCCTGTTGATAGCAAAACAAAGAGGTTTGTGCAAATCAGTTTCTTCATTGTGCATTCGTGGCATTTGATTTTATTGTCCTTTTGCCACTAGCCCAGATCTTACTAATGTTAATTGCTCCAACTAGCAACAATCAAGCTACTTGTAGGCTGTCCCAGTGTATAATGTTATATTATTGTTTTTCGGTGGGATAGTACTTAATACTGAACAGGGCTCAAAAAAAGTGCCATCTAGTAGTCCTATACAAGTTGATTTTCTTGCTGAACAAGTAACCTTTAAAGCTTGCTTACCCAATGGGCAAGGGTCAGAGCAAGTCATCCTCTAGCAATATCATTAACTAAGATGACCAAGAAGTAGCCCTGCAGGCAAGCAACATGTAATAGCTACTACTTGCCCAAAGGACAAGCTGGAATTCAAGTCTTTTCTGAGCCCTGTGAAAGTTTATTTTTTATGAGAATGATGTTAAAATAAAAAAAAATTGGTTAAATATTTTGTTTGAAGGTGTAACTGAAGTCCAGCCTAGAGTTTTGATAATTGGTAGCAGTGGTCGTTGTGGCAGTGGAGCAGCATATATCTTGGAAAGAGTTGGATTGCCAAGGTTGGTGTTGAACCAGTCACTTTGTAAAATGTTGTGCAAATAAAATGATTATGTCAAGTGGAAGACCTGGAAAGTTTTTACATTTATTTTAAGTTTTCATTTTGCAGGCCTGGGAAGTTGTAGAATTTTACTAAATTATTGGTCCTTGAAAATGAAAATTACATTTTTGTTTAATAGTTCAGTTACTGCATATTATAAAGCAAGGATAATGTAACATTGTGACAATAAAGTAATTAAACAAGGTGAATGGCAAGCATTTTGGTGAACACTAGAGTTTGGTCTGTTGAACTGTTTTATGCCAAAAATACCCTAGGTCAGGGAAGTTTTGAACATTTTCGAAAACAGCTAAACCTAAGGTCATGGAAAACTGGAAAAGGTAATGGAAAAATCCATGGAAAGTCTTGGAAATTGAAGAGCTCATAAGAGTATGAACCCTGGGAAGGATCCCTGCATTGTTCAAACCTAATAACCAAGAACATATCATTTTAAATATTCCATTTTAGTGGTCCATCTACTGCCTTAGAATACTTAAGTGATTTTTGACATAATGAAAATAAACCTCCAAATGCAAGACACTTATGCTGATTGAAATGTAGCTTACATGCAATAATCTGATACTCTTATTTCCTGAAGTGAGAAAATTGTCAAGTGGTCAAGGCAAGAGACACATGCTGGGGGTCCTTTTCCTGAAATCTTGGGTTTTGACATTTTTGTCAACTGTATCTTCTTGTCAAAGGTAGGAACATACTGCTAACCTCAGCAACTTAATCTAGGGAAAACATTTGTGCTGTAAGGGCGCAGGATGTGGCTTGAATCTTTGATTTCACTTGGATGGGCTATCACGTAAGCAGTTACATAGTTTTTTTCTATGATAAAAATCAGAATTGACTTCAGCCCTTCTAGTAATCCACATTTAACCCTTATTTGAGTAAGGTGGCTGCAAAATTAAAGCTACTGTAAGCTGTCAAGCTTACAGTATCCTCCAGTTAAAGTTACACTGGGTATCCTCCTGTCAAGCCTACAGTTATCCTCCAAGCAGTACCTAATCATGAAACATTTGGCGAAAACTTGAAATGAAGTTGCTGTCTTAACAAATAAGTCTCTTAAAAACTTTGTTATTGCCTCTTACCTCTCTTCATGAAGCCTAGCTATTAATTTGTTTTAGATATTTTGTCACTGACTGTAGTATAGCTATTAATTTGTTTTAAATATTTTGTCACTGACTGTGGTATTGATATAACAAAATTAAACCTTTATTTTATACAGAAAATTCCACCTTTCTTGACAAGAGATATGTTACTTAACAATACAAGGTATGTTGATAGTATTGCCACCTGGTAGTTACTTCTAAAGTGCATTTATATTTTAAAGTATTCTGAGTATCATTAATAATATTGTTCTTTTTTTCCCTCAAAATTTCAGGAATTTGACGGTCATTTCAGACGTGAGCTGTGACTGTACAAGCCCTGATAATCCACTGCCAATTTATGAAACAATCACAACATTTTTGCACCCGACACATCGAGTTAATCTGGGGTATGGATCACCATTCAATAGCAAAATTTTATATTATTTTGATGTTTTGAGTTTTAATTAAATAATGTCAGCAACATACACCCTTCCAATCAGCTATAAAAAAAGTACTACTTCTATAGATTAATAACAGTTTTACACAAAACCTCTCCAGCAGTACTTTTATGTGGATATTGTTTGGTTTGTTCGTACAGGACAGATTTTGTTCAACACTTTCTGTTATTCATCAGTCGGTATACACCTGTATATCAAAACTAAGACCACGACTTGTGAACTGCTCTTTGAATCATTGCCTCTGTTTTCTCGTCAGGCCAAGTGCAAAACTCCTGGATGTCGTTGCCATTGATCATCTTCCTTCTCTCCTGCCCAAAGACAGTAGTGATAAATATGCTGCAAAACTTCTGCCGTTCCTACTTAAACTTTCAGAGGTACGTGTTCCCCTCTGTACAAGTTAAAGGGGTTCTCATCTTTTTGAAAAGCTTAAATGTGTCCTCGCATCAATTGAATTTCAAAAATACTGGTCGTGTTTTTTTTTGTTTTAGACTATATTTAGGCATAGAAACTATTTCCTGTCATCTGTTGCTAAGGATGGCAAGGATGGACGTGGATTGAAACTTGAAGAAGTTAGGCCAACTTTTTCAAGTTTTAACGCCTTGCCTGCAAAAATCTCCAGAAAATAGTATGATTGGTCAATTAAGTCGCGATGTTATTGGTCGTCTGTCAGTTAAACCGTGATGTTATTGGCTATGAAGACTCGCAATGTCATTGGTGCGTTTCGATTAGTCTATTAGGGACTTTAAGATCCAACGACGCGACGGCAACGAGAACGTCGGTTAAAAAGTGAATTTTCGTTCTTTCATTCTTTATCGCAATTATTCCTACCCACTTACTTTGTCAAATGTAGGCGAACCCTCCCAGAATTGAATTCCTAGGGACCATAATCCAAGTTCAGAAAGAGAAATTAAATTTCGTCGTTGCTTGTTTACGTTCTCCATAAAACGCGAAATTAGGCTTTTTCACGTCGTAGTCGTGCAAAAACGAGAATAGAAATGTACAAACAAGTGTGATGCACGTGCAAAGTTGTTGTTTTGAGAATAGAACCTTTTTTTTTGACGTTCCTGTTGCCGTCCGCGTCTTTGGATCTTAAAGTCCCTGTTGTCCCAGTTAAACAGTCGTTTATTGTTAGTCAAATTGTCGGTTGTCACGTCATTCTCTCGAAGTTGGTTTTGCTTGATTCCGTCAATAAGTCGTTCGTACGGTGCTGGTAACTGTTGACTTCGTTTCAGGGGCGTTTGTTCTCAGTTAGTAAACCGATTAACTACGAGAGAATGACTGGACAACCGACAATTTCACTAAAATCGCGACTTAATTTGTCAATAAGAGCAGTAACCAAAGTTAGATACCATCAACTGACTCGATGATCAACTGAAGATGACTACCGCACAGGTTGTCGAAGCGTCAGTCACTGTCAACAACAGTCCTATTCAGGACTACGTTCACCGGACGGTCATACTGAACCTACTTATAAAATGACCCCAGGGTTCAAACCTTTCACAGGTTTATGAGAAAAATACTTTGTTCTTTTACCAAATTTTCTCAACTAATTTTTAAGGAAATATTTGAAGATCAGTCTGTAGAATTTGAATGTAAATAATAGGGAGCTTAAGCAACGACGACGGCTAAAAGCAGTAGGTTTAGATTGGCAAAACAACAACTTAGCCATCACGTTTTTTTGTACATTTCTTTGCCGTCACTGCACGACTACGACGTGAAAATTCCTAATTTCACGTTTTGTGGAGGACGAGAGCACAAGACAACTACTTTGTTTTTCTTTTCCTCAACTTCGATACCGTCTTTTAGAATTCAACTCCAGAAAAAAATTGCCAACATTTGACGAATTGAATGACATGGAATTATTGGAATAAGCGCGACAAAGTTGGAAGAAGCGCAAATTCACTTTTTAAGTGACTTTTTGGTCGCCGTCGTTGTTGCTTAAGGTGACTCGACCCAGTTTTTTTGGGGAGGTACCATCCTACTTTGAAGCTCTCTGGTATCCCCACCTTTACTTTTATCGTAAGTCTAACACATAGAATGGATAACATAAAGATCAATCTACAATATAACAAAATTTTTGGCGATCGGAGTAAATGTCACGTGGTTATAATGCCACGCCCCTTTGAGGTCTGAGTCGAAAATCGGCTGTTGCCGGCATTTTTTCGTGAAAATCTCTCGGCTACACGTAGTGCGCATTAGTGCCTTGCGCTGAACAGAGTTTCACCAAAATCGCAAAGACCCAATTCGAAAAATTCTGCGGTTTCCAAATTTAGGTCATAATTTATGCGAAAATGATAAGCAAACTTTACACGGATTATATATAATAAACTATGAGATTCATCTCTTTATTTTGGACATCGTTATAACAGATGGGTGCTCGCAAGTCAGCAAAACGCTTTAGGGCCTTGTAAATGCGCGCGATTTCGAGCAAAGCAAACATATAGAAATTATAGTTTTCGCTATTTGTTGATGTTTGTCAGCGTTTAAGAGTCCTTCTCACGAAAAAAGCATTTTCTTAAAAATTCGTAGTTTTTTTTCCTTCAAATTTTTTCAGGGCCACAATTGATTAACTAACTACCCGGACTCTGAATTTCATGGTCATTGAAAAACTGTGACATTATCTTCTATAAGCCCAAACTTGAGTAAACATTGAAGATTTTTAGCGTTTTGGCTGAGTTTGTGCTTTGGGAGTTGTCTATTGTTTCTAGTCTGTCATGATACAGCATTCTTGTTCAGCACGCGTGCAATGACCGCGCTTGGCTGACTTCCGAATGCTTATCTATTCCATGTGTTAGACTTACGATAAAAGTAAAGGTGGGGATACCAGAGAGCTTCAAAGTAGGATGGTACCCCCCCAAAAAAACTGGGTCGAGTCACCTTAAGCTCCCTAATAAGGCTTAAAGGGTTAAAACTCATCCTTTTGTGCATTGTTTATGTTTAGGCTGAAACCTTTCCCGCTTGGGTAAGGGTCAAGAATATTTTCCGTGAGAAAGTAGGCGAGGCTCTGGCTGGCGTTGAAGTGCGTCCACGAAAAGAATCGGTAGCCAAAGATGAAGCTGAAGCGTCATCGTCATCAGAGGAAGACTAATAGAGATCTTTAGATTATCTAAAGACGAAGACGACTACGAGTACGAGATTTTTTCAATACTAAGTAGTGCGCGCGCGTAAATCGGCGTCACTTTTGGCGGGAAAACGTGATATCATTCTATCACGGGTTTTGGCGAGAATGTCGTACTGGCGGAGAAAGTTATCAAATGTTGGAATTTTTCTTATTTTGTGATCGGGAGAAGGCTTAACCTCGTTCAATAAAAAAACCGTACTAACTTTTCTGGTTAAAAAAAGTTCAATAAAGCTTACCGGGGTGTCTTTCTTTTAGAAAACGCGAAAAAAATAAAATTAAGTTAGATCTCGTCCTCATAGTTGTGCTCCGATCTATTAAAGGTCCCTAACACAAGGATGTCCACCCTGGTCCCAGAGATTTTTCTTGAAGTTTTTCTTCACGAAAGAGAGAGCTAGCCGCGAAGCGGCAAGTAGAGAGAGAGAAAAACGCTTCGCGGCTCGCTCGCTCTCTCGCGCGCGAAGAAAAATTTCAAGACAAATCTCTGGGGCCAGGGTAAAGGAAGTCTCGCTGTACATGAGTTACTTGAATATTGTGTGAAAGTTATTCCGTGCTAGTTTGGAAAAATGCTAATAAAATTAATATGTATCAATGATAATATAAAGATACGAATTATACAAATTTACTTGTCTTGGTGTACATGTTTCAAGCTACTTTTTGTTGAGCAGTAAAATGATATCGATGTTATTATTGGTCTCTCAAATGATTTGTTGATACCTCTGTTTGGGGTGAAAATGAGTTCCACGCTCATAATTACTACGTATATTTTACAGGGATGTTCTCCCCTGTTCTAGTCCCTTAGGACTTCTTCTTTGTGTTTGAGTACCCTTTGTGATGTACATAGTCGTACTTAAAATTTTCTAAGAAAGGCGAAAATTCAAATCTCCGTGAAATTAAGGTAGTGGTGTGCTTTTAGAAAGCCCGGTAGACGCGAAGGGAAGAGTTGGTGACAAGGCATGGTGAATTAAAGAATGTTAACTTTTCATCAAGTGAAATAGTTTTTCATATATTCACTGGCCTTAAAATTCAACATCGCATTTAAATATTTGCGAATAAGTACGCTACTAATCGGCACGATCCAGTTCATTGTACAGTCCTCTAGCGATAGTATGCAACACTGTTTGTCACAATGGGCAAGCAACCCTTCTTGATCTCACGGGTCTCCTGTGGCTCAGTGCTAGAGCATCTGGATCTAGACTAGTATCCAATTCAAGAGCTCGGATTACTATTTTTCTGCGACAGCTTTGCCACTCAGTATAAAAATAAATGCCATTAAAATTCCCACCCCTCGCCTGCCACGTAGGCTGCTATGCCAGCGGCGCGCAACGGTTGGTTAGCCTGTGGTAGACGAGTCAGTAGATACTTTGTGTAAGCCTTGTCCGACTTGTGCATGTTTTCAAGCACGAGTGTTTGTGTGTGGCGCGCGGTCAACCCCTTTCTACGTTTATAATCCACTATGTTCGGTTAACTTGTAGACAAATTAAAAAAAAAAGAAGCATTATTCTTGCATTCATGGATTGTTGTCATATTTGGCTTCGCGCCGAGACGAAACCAAACGAGCAACGTAGAGCCTTGACGCCGGACAAATGCAGACTTCTTCTGGAGAAAGGTACTGCATAAGCTTGTAAGCATATAGGACGCCGTCGCTGCCCAAAAGGGTGGATATGCAAATTTTCTGCTTTTGATGCTGAAGTAAGCGAAATAGTGGCACCTTCTCACTTCAAATACATTTTTTGTAGCCTGCAAAATTGCGAGGTCCGGGGGACTTTAGGAATTTCTGGGTGGGGATGTGCCGCTGGAACCCTCAACCTATACCAGAGCTAGTTCAGCTGAATTTTCCTACCCTATACTAGAGTTAAGTCTCCAAATCCCCCTATCATAGAGTAGCTGTTTTCCAGAAATTACTGAGGTCACTAGCACAGTAGTCTAGCCAAAAAAACCCTTGTATCACAACCCACATACTAATATAGCCCATATATGGCAGTACCCCCCCCCCCTCGGGGGGAGGTGGAGTGGGGGATTGGGGGAGAAAAGCGCAGAAGGTAAAAGGCAGAGGGAGGAGTGTCTCCTATAACAGCGGGTGGTTTTGCAGCGTGGCCGAGTGGTCAGCGCGTCGGACTCGCAATCCGGCGGTCCCGGGTTCCGAGTCCCGTTCTGGCCACTTGCTGGATTTGTGCTCGGTCGTCCCGAGTTCAAATAATTTCTCGGCCACGCTTGTAAATAGCCAACTGGTTGCCTTCTGCCAGTTGGGGTTTTTAATCCTGTTATGTTGTATTTGAATTATTTGTTTCTAAATATTTGAGTGGAGTACCTGTAAATTAGCTGACTAGCTAAGTGCACCTTCCACTATAAAACCAATCTCCTAACTAATCCGATAGCCTCAACTGTCAGTATGTGATCAATCACAAGTAGGGGGGCTCCTCAGCAGGGGCAAAATTACTTTCTTTGTCAGAAATTGTTAAGTCCAGGGGCGTTTTTCAAATGATATCATAATTGAGCAAAACAGAACAGTTTACAGTTTTCTCAGCAAACATGAAAAACAGTGATCGGTTTCTCGTGAGTAAAGAAAATTTTTTGGTCTTGCCTTGAGCATCAAATAGTCGTAGAAAACAGAACATTTGCCAGCCTGGGGCGGGAATAATTTCTGAAAGGAGAAGTAAAAATAAATTATTGTGGAAAAGCTACCCATGGATAATTTTTACCAAAGCTTCAGCTCTGAATTCACAAACCATACAGAAGTTCATTTAAGGCAGTATATTGATTTTATGGAAAAGTCACTTGTCTAGCCTATAAAATTCCCCAAATAATAATTGTCTTGTAGATCAGTAGTTGCATTGAAATGTCAAGCATGCTTGACAAGTATCATCGCTCGTCGTTTGGACAAATCTAGTATCCAAAACCACCAGAGCATCGCTGTCTGCCAAACAACATTGGAAAGCTGGTTTTAGTTTGGTTTTAATGTCAAGTCGCTACTGGATTGGCATATGTAATTTTGATATTTCCCTGTTTCCCTAGTCTAGACTAAAATCTTCACCCAATTGATTAGTTTCCTGGAAAATGAAATATGAAATCCTTGTTCTGGGTCCTCAGTTGTCAGGATTTGTCTTTGTACCATTTGCTGGCTTGTTTAAAAAACCATGGATTGTTAGGACAAGATTTCGTCTTGTCATCTTTATGTTAATGACCTTTATTTCATTTGACACTTTATTTCCTCTATCACTGTTTCAAGGCCATGTTGAATTGGTTGTTGGAAATTATTTCACCCTAACACCTGGTGCCCCAGAGGAGAAGGCATGTATGGCTGAGCGGTTAGGACCTCAAACTCGTCACCTATTTTTTACCTTAATTGTGCCCCAGCACAAAGTCAATGGCTATCTGTTGTACAAAGAGGGTTCATGAAAGGAACAAGGAACCCTCTTAGATTTCCCTGCTTGCTTTTAGATGATCTAGATGTTATAATTTTTTTATTAGGTTTTAAAGTCACTGTGGAATTGTCGGACCAGTGTGTGTTCAAGGATGAGGAATTTCAATGGTTGGTGAATATTATCATATAGGTTTTAAGTTTTCACAACATACATAGCCTGTGAATACAGCCATCTGTCCTTGCTCCTCACTGCTAAGGAACATTTTGCAGGAAAGAAATGTGCACCTTATCAACAGGAATTCCATACTGATGATGTAAATCACAATGTTTTCAGTTTAGATACATAATTAATCCGGGAGTAATGGAGTTCCAACTCTTAATTTGTTCGATTTTATGTTTCTCCTGGTCAATTATGTTAACGTTTTGTGTTCTTCTGTGAATGAGCTTTAGCAAAAATCAAATGCTTCTTCAAAAGAAGAATATATTGTATTAATAAATTGACTTTTTTGTATTGAATTCAGTGCATTTACATTTGACCTTTATGGCCTTTTGTCTTTCGTCTGTCATTTGTAAACAATATCTAGAACAAGGTATATAACTACTATATGTCGACCAATCAGAGCTCCCGACCAGGTTCCAGACAGATTTTACATCATCAGTATGGAATTTCTTTTGCTGGTGCGTAGACGGCTGTATTTGTAGGCTACATTTCAAACAACCTCATGCCTGAACTATTAAACTAGAAGTAATCACGATGCATTGATTTTTAAGTGTGTTTATCTGTATATAACTATATTGTTTTGTTCTGACCAACAAACACACCATTCTTAAGACAATCTGCTTTATAAGCACTCTTCTAATATTCTACTCATGATTATTTTGCAGTATTCCAGGCGTCAACATGGTTCCCAGTGGTTCATGGGTCGGTGCTCCAAAAGAGGCTGTTATTTTAGGGCTTAAGGAGTTACCTTCCAGCGAGGATCCAATAACACAGAGGCACATCTTCTTTGCTCATGCTTATAAGGTGGGGTGCCTAGAAAAGTGTGTTTTGTATTTACAACTAATTATTGATTAGTTATTGTGATCATGTAGGAAAGTGACTCTGATATGTTATATCTCATTTCTTTGAAATTAACTTCTCCTCTCTTCTTCCCACTCACCAGTCATTATAGAATTTATCTGAGATCAGGCTCTATTTTTTTTTGCTGCGTAAATTGTACAGTGAATATATGGAGGCTCCTATTAAATTATGCCTGATCCTTGGTCTTGCAAACGCATCTTTTCTTTGTTTGGTTATCTATAAACTGCATCATAAGATTACAAGAAATTTGTTTCAATCACTGATTTGTGCCTAGGTCTCTTATAAAAAGTGGAAATAATGTTACAGGCCATGCAGGCTGATGGTTCATAGTTTGGTGCTTCAGTATGTCAGCTTGAGCTCATCATTTTAATCTCTTGAAAGTTAAAAAGGTTTTAATGTAAAAAAATTTATCATTTCAAGAACCAAACAGGCTGGGCAAAGTTACTCCACCGTTTCATCAAAGGAGGGGGAAGTATTTTGGATATTGAATTTATGACTGATGAAAATGGTAAGTGATGCTTGAGCAGATTTTGGATCCTATTCGATAATTTTAGCAGAAATTTGTGCTTTCTCCTACAAAGACAATCACAAAATAATTTAGTTAACAATTTTGAAAGGTTAGGCTGCAAGAAATTTCCATCAAACCCTGAGTCGTATATTAATCAATTCTGATCCCCCTGGGTACAATAACTAACTGAATTCCATGAAATCTGAAATTTGTAACATTTTACTGATGCTGGTACAGTGTTCTTACCAGGATTTTCTACCCTGGGGTCCACAGGACCCATGGAGAAGCTAAAAGGGGGTCATGAGGGAGAAAAGCGGGTCACAAGTTTTAGATACAGTTAACTCGACGTTTTACCAACAGGTTTGAGTTAGAGTAAATACCTCGTACTTTCTTAGATGATGAATATCCAATTTTTACATACTGAGTTTACTCGACATTTTACAGCTCTGAGTTAGAGTAAATGCATCATAACCAATTAAATTTTGGCTTTTATAATTATTTATAAGGAAATGTACGTATTTGTATGAGTGTTTACGTATGTTTTGTAATAGTTTTTTTTCCTTCTTTGCGCCCTTGGGACCCCTTGGGTTAATAATAATTATTATGGTACAGCATTCCCCAAAAAAGTGCAGCAATGCCACAATGCCGTGGTCTGCTAAGAACACTGGCTAGTGTCATTGGAGTTCCTGATAAATGTAAGATGGAAATATTTTCTATGCCCCTCTGAGGAAACAAGCTGTGCCCCACCATATACTACTGTGAGTGTATTTGAGACATCTTTTTCAATATGGTAATATTTTTCTTGTACCTGAATTTATTTGAAGGAAGAAGAGTTGTGGCTGAATTCAGTGGAATGGCTGGACTTGGTGGAATGGGTGTAGGAATACTGGCCTGGTGCCACCAACAAATCAGGTATAAAGGAAATAAAAAAGATTAGGTCTAAGAATAGTGCACTGAGGTTCTTATTAAGTTTTAAGGGGCTAAGTTTCAGCCACAACTGCTTTCATATTCTCAAACTAATGCTAAGGGTCTTAATTTACAACATTTACAAATGGGTATGGGGTCGCTTCCTTTTCTATAATAATATCATTATCTTCAATGAGTCAGACCTTCTCATAGCTTTGATTCATGGCCACATAGGAATCGTTGGCAGTTCTGTCTCCATAGCTAACTTATGCGAACCACTCAGATACAACATTCCACTCTTTCTGTGACCAACTTAAGTGTGTTCCAGAAGGGGGTGGGGTTGGGAGAGCAACAGAGGATCTGTGGGAGGGGTTCTTGAAATATGGCCCTAGAGGAAGGGATGGTGAATGGTAAAATCCAAAAGATTCCGCGACCCTTGCTTAAAAATCTAAACCTTAAAGTTTGTCTTGAGAAAAAATGTTAAAAGAAATGGAAGGCTGAATAATTATGATCCAAGATGTTAGTTGTGCAACACTGTCTTTAACAATTTCCTTGCTCAATTGTATGAGTTGTGCTCTTGAACTCTGAGATCTTTCAGCAAAAGAGATTTGGAGACTTTAAGATCAGCTAAAAATCATGCAAAAACCAGACTTTGCGATGTGGCCAAAATTTTCCAAGACCCAGGTTTTTTGAGGTCACTACCATTCTCTACCCCTTTATATGAGTCCTAATCTATCTCCTTTAACTATTAAGCACATATATATATATATAAATATTCTAGTATTAGCAAGAGATGTAACTTGTGTTTATGGGAAAAATATTTTATTATCTGTAAACCCGAAATGTCAACCCTGAACAACAGAAGCGAACTGATATCTAATTGTAGACATTCTAAGAAATTCCTCTTGAAGAACGTATTCGCTTAGCAACCAATCATATTTCTGCATGTCACGCCACTACGCATTGTCCTGTATTTTCAAATTTTGTACATCTTCATATGTATCCGTTATTTTTGGCAGTTGCCTGATGATTGCTCCGCAAGGAGCATGAAACTCTGAGTAGCAATAAATGTCTTCGACCAAATAATCCAACTCTGCAAATGTACACATCGCTCTAGTTTACCTGTTGAGCACTTTAATAGCTGATGAAATCTGCAATTCATTATATTACTATATTATATATATATATATATATATAAGGAGAATCTTGCAGTTTATAAAAAGTGACCCAAGGCTTACTCATAATAATGAGAATAATAACACTAATATTTATACAGGATAACCTGTTAGTTCTATTAAAAAGAACTGTTACCAAAAGGGTCCAGGCCTGCCTTCAATAATTACAGCTGCCTGCGGCAGCTGGCCTCTGTTCTTTTAAAGGCTTGAGAGCCATGTGATATGTGCACAATACTTACATCATTCATTTATGACAAGCAAGTAAACTATAACTCAAGAAGAAGACTTTTTTGTCTTTCCTTTTACAAAGAACATGAAGCCTGGCAAATGAAAGACTTGTAGTTTATATTGGAAACTTTCAGTCAGCTTAACGTGGGTAGGTACACTAAGGGTAAACTTCATGTGCTGGAGTCGTAAAAAATCAAATCATATCAAATCAAAAAAATGCTGTAGTTATTCCCTTTTGCATGTGTTGGTGTATATGTTGCAGTTAATTTTTTATTTTAGGTAATTTTTGTTTTTCCTTTGTCCCAAATTCATTAGCATGTATTGCCATACCCAAAAACAATGGAAAAATAAGAATTAATTGAGATAATAAATTAAGTACAAAATATACATAGCTTGATAGCTTCACTGACTTAACCAAAATTGGGCCAGGATAAACTTACTTTATTACTTAAATAAACACTATTGGTTCTTGCTGCTGTTATTATGATAAACTCTGGTATATTAAGCTTGATAGCTGGTTGACTCCTCTTTCTCTCTTTCCAGTGCTGATAAGCCGATGCCTGCAGTAAAACCATATGACAGTGAAGCTGCATTCATTGATCACATCACCCAGCAGCTCAAGCAAGTTGCAAAGATAGAAGGTGATAAATTAGGTACTTAAATCAATGAAAAGGGTGCATCATGGAATAAGGCCATGATAGGTGACTCCTGATTGTACTTTAAATTATTTCTTCAGTTAAAAGCACATTTAAGGCAAACGGAAAGGAGAAGCTATTATCAGAAGTCTTTGGGGCTTTTTGCCAGGCACTCCTTTAATTCCTGATCTAATGATCAATGTTTTATCATGACATTTCTTTTACTGCTGTAAGTACTAAGTTCATCATCATCATCATCATCTCACCAATTTTTTCCTAAATTTGTTCTTTTTTTCCTTATCAAATTTAATAAGCTTTAAAATAGTTATCATGATTACAATATCCTGATGGATTGTTTGGCAAGCACACCGCCGATGGGTATGTCATTGCTTTATTATAAGAACCACTTTTCCCTTCAGGTGTTCCTGAAGTATTTCCACGCATCATAGTGATTGGTGCTTTGGGTCGCTGTGGTAGAGGAGCCTTAGAGATGGCCAACAAAATTGGAATTCCAAAGTAAAATCACAGTTTTGTGAATTTACGGTTGAAGTATGTTTCTTAAACCGCATTACTTCAAACAGTATCCCAAAGCAAAATTGTTACCTGATCTAGGCCTTGATTGTTACAGGTCTGCTATTATGGAATGGGATTTAGATGAAACCAAGGCTGGAGGACCATTCAAGGAGATACTGGATTTTGACATTCTTGTGAACTGCATACTTCTTGCAGAGGTATTTAAACCTGATTTTCTAGGGAGCTTTTAAAAGTAAGGACAGTGGTGATGGCAATGGGAACATGTGTCAAAAAAGTTTAGATTAACAAAACATTAAATTTGCACACTTAGCACAGTCCTCCCTACATTCTTTCAAGGTTGAGGCCATTGCACACAATACAGTTTTAGCCTGCCTCCTTCAATTCTGTAGCTGGACATCTCTCTAAGGCAACAGTGATTGCTTGTTCCTGGCCAAATTTTACTTTTTTGTTGTACAAGTAAACGTTATCTGAGCACATTGTATAGAACTAGTTAACAGTTGCACATGGGTGAAATTATAAGATTCTTATAGGCAACCACGGCTCCCATAAGCAACAACATCTTTGCATTTTGGGTGGATACTTATGTGAGGTTCGACTGTATATGTAGACAAAAGGAACTCTTTTGCAATTTCTTCATGCTTTTGGTTATTATTGGTTTCAGAAAATAAGTCCATTTGTCACAAAAGACATGTTGGAAACAGATGAAAGGTAATAACCATCTACCCAGGCTAACTAATGACTTAATGGCCAACAAATGATTTCAAACTTGTCTAAAGAAAGCAGTTCATGTCAGGGTTATGATGCCACTACAAAACACTTGTCTACTGGCATTATGGCAGGCAGTATTAGGAAGGTCATGAATATGTAAGGGGGTTGGAAGTCAAATGATATCACACTGATAATATGGTTAGATGTCGAATAAAACTGTGATGAACTGACAAAGATACTAATGATGATGATGATGATGATGGCAATGCCAATGCCCAGGAAGATGACAGTGACTATGCAGTTGATGATGAAGATGATGGCATTGATGATGACAATTTTATGATGGGGTAGTGATGACAATGACAATGTTACTATGATGATTATAAATTATTTAAAGCACTTAGAATGG